GTAAATATAAATATAAATTTATTATTTAAAACAATTAATTTTATTTATTTTAATGTTTAAACTAGAAAATGATTGTAAAAGCTTTATAAACACCATGATTAATTAATGTGTTATAAGAGCATAAAGGAAAGTGTTACATAAAGTTACACTTCACTAGCCTTTACAGCAATTGCATTTATAGCTTTTTCTTAATTTAGAATTTATTGGGAATTATTGTGCAAAATTTAAATTAGTTATTTTAAAATATTAAATCATAAGCATTATTTTTGTATTTACTAAATAGGGCTACTATTTTGAAAGAAAGGTTGCAACTTTACTCTATCAGCAGCAGAAGAGCTAGAGTTTTGTTGATGGCGTGGAGGAAAATGACTCATGAAACACCATACCATGTGCATTAGTGATTTTGATCTCCAAGCTGGGCTCGTTTTTGAGCCAGCAGGCCAGGCTTGGGAGCTCGTTGGAAGGCAGCATGTCACTGGGAGGTCCTCCACAATGGCCCGGGGACAAACGGAAACAAAGCTAAAAGTGGTGAGTTCTATTTTTCTCTAACATGGCCACGCAGATCAGTGGCAAATTGCCACCAGCAAAGCCCCACAGATTCACACTTCGTCATGCTGGAGAAGAAGAAGAAGTTGGCTTGTTTCAACTCGTTTTCCACCTAGATTGTTTTGTTCGTGATTCTTTGCGGACCAGGCAGATTTGCAAACGGATTGAAGAATGACGAGCAAAATACTCAAAGCAACATTCAATCAATCAAATTTAAATGAACGATACACATTTTGTTTGTGCCATGCTAAGATTCTTTAAATAACTTACTTTGTTAACGATCAAAACAATTCATTATCATTATTCAGCTTAAAGTTGCAAGGGAGAAAAGAAGAGCAGAATGCTGAAAAAGGAGTTTACTTGGCCTGATGCCTTGCCTGGAAATCCTTCATGAGCGCCACCAGCTTCTCCACGCCCGCCCTGGGCATGGCGTTGTAGATGGACGCTCTCACGCCCCCAACCGAGCGATGCCCCTTGAGCTGCACCATCCCTTTGCCAGCAGCCTCCTTGACAAACGCGGCCTCCATCTCCGGCGACGCCATGGTGAAAGGAACGTTCATCACCGACCTCACCGACGCCTCCACCGGGCACTTGTAGAAACCGTCGCTGCCATCGATGGCCCGGTACAAGATCTCGGCCTTGTCATTGTTCTTCCTGGCTATGGCTTCCAGCCCGCCCTGGTGGAGGAGGTCCTCGAAAACGAGCCCGCACATATAGATGGCGAAGCACGGCGGCGTGTTGTAGAGCGACTTGTTGTCGGCGTGCGTCTTGAAGTCGAGCATGACGGGAGTGGTCGGCTGCGCACCGCCCACCAAGTCCTTCCTCACAATCGCGATCGTCACCCCGGACGGCCCGACGTTCTTCTGCGCGCCGGCGTAGATCACCCCGAACTTGGACACGTCCACCGGCTTGGAGCAGAAGTTGGAGGACATGTCCGCCACCAGGATCGTCCCCTCCCCGACCGCCGGATACCAGTCCTTGAATTCCACTCCGTGGATCGTCTCGTTGGCGCAGACATGGACGAACTTGGCACCTGGAGTGAGCTTGAGCTCCGACCCTGACGATGGAATGGAGGTGTACTTGGTGGCCTTGCCGCTCCACGCGAGATTCGCCTTGCAGTACTTCTGCGCTTCCTTGTAAGCTTTGTCGCCCCAGGAGCCCGTGACGATGAAGTCGGCAGTGTCCTCCGGCGAGCAAAGGTTGAGCGGGATAGCCGAGAAGAGCGTGGAAGCCCCGCCTTGCAAGAAGAGGACCTCGTAGTTGTCTGGAATTGCCAGCAGCGCTCGAAGATCTGCCTCGGCCTTTTGGATCACGGAAAGAAATTCTTTCCCCCGGTGGCTCATCTCCATGATGCTCATCCCACAGCCCTGCCAGTTGTAGAGATCCTGCTGCGCCTTCTTCACCACATTGGCGGGCAGCGTCGCCGGCCCGGCCGCGAAGTTGTAAACCCTGCCATCGTTCTCGATGCTCTCGATCCGCGACGACGGCGCAATCCCGGTGCCTACCGTCGCCGTGCACGAAATCTCGCGCTGCCGCCGATCGGGGCGCCCGATCCTGACGTGGGAGAATGGCGATACCTGTGAAGCCGGTGACGAGCAGCGCCCATCGCCGCCGAGGAATGTGGATCGGGCCACCAGCGCGCGCGCCATGCCCGCATTTGCCGCCATCGATCGGTCGCCCTCTCAAGAACCCTAGCTCCCAGTGCTCGATTAAATAATAACAATGGGAATGTCAAGTACGTCTTCCTTCCTTCCTTTCTCCTTCCTGGGTTGCTGAGATCACACCAACCAACCATGTTTGACAAGCATATTCGATAAAATATTTCACTATGATCAAAGTATTTCTCACTGTGAGCGAAGCTTTCGTCATTCCTCCAATGCTCTTGATTTTATGATCAGGCTTTCGCTCGGCATCGCTCCATCAGTAGTAGTTTCCAATCTTTCGGTGGTGCACGGCAGTTCTAGCGTCTGGCTTTGACACACTGCCCTCGGTGGCGTGAGCGTAGATGATCCAGTGATCGCTCACTTCCATTCGAGTCACCACCGTGCACTCGAGATAAGCTAGAGCATCCACCAGGATGGGACACGAATTTTTTCCAACAGTCCATTCCACTCCCTCGAAGCGATCGGCTGTAGCGGCAAAAATCACAGAGAGATTCTTAGTAGCATTAGACGGTAGTGCTCTGGTGATGCTTACCCCCAGGAGGAAAACGTTTTAGAAAGTGTTTCATTAGTTTTGTGGAGTTTCCTTCTTCCAAACAGTTGAGGACGAAGTTGTCACCAACCTGTGAGTAAAATCTAAGGGGACATCAAATAAAAGAGATGGACGAACCTGCATGAGAGACTCGATAGCTCTGTCTTTGGCGACTGCTATGGTAATGCCTAGAGGTTTGAAGCTAGCCTGCTCGGATAATCACCCACTCAGTTGTAGAATCTCAAGGCAAAGTTTTGTTTTATTACCTGGGACACCCAAGATGCGATCATAGCTCCTTTTGTTGAGCCTTTAAAGGCAGTCACGACGTAGATCCCGCCTGACACTCGAGCTATTGCCTTGGCAACATTCACAGGCATCTGTGTCTTTTTGGCTTCAATGACTTTCTTTTGAGAAAGCAGTTGTCCCAAGTCCGTGCCTGCTTCTTCAAATTGTTGATACCTGCATATACGACGACGTTAGTCGAAACCAGCAGGATTAAAAAAAAAGTATCTTCTATACGTTGATTCTGTCGGTGTTTCCTTGACTCTTAAAGCAGGAAGAGGAGTTGGAATTCCTAGCTCCACAAAACGTTGCAAAATCGTATCAACGGGCTCATCGTCGCCTCCATAGCTTTCTGCTATCAAAACTGGCTGCAACACATGTTGGTCGATTTCAGTAAGACAAAACACAAGACGCAAGTTCCAAATCAAGTTCCAAACCTTCTTTGTTTTCAACGCTGCGTAGAGCGTGCTGATGGCTGCGTTTGCAGGTCCTGTGCTTGGAGGCGTCATTAAGAATACCGCACTATTTCGAGCAACGCTCTCTACAATCTCTTGCGAATCTGTCGAGTTCAAGTCAATCATCTGAGCTCCCGTATCCGTCTTCGTCAGGCCTCTAGCGAATGTCTGGCCAAATGAAGTTAAGCGTCGCACAACATCCGATGAAAACGCTTACCTGAGAGAGTCGATCGCTGTAGCCATAATCCGAGACGTAAAGCACAGCGACACTAGCTAGCTGTTTTTCCAGTGCCTGCTTGCTCCAGTTTTCATATTTGCTCATCAGCTCTGGAACATTATACCTCAGTAAAGGCCCGTGTCCCGTTGCAATTACTGCGAAATCCAGGTCCTTCACCCGCTTGAGCCCGACTAACACAGACCGAGCATTCGGCTTCATGAGACAGTCGTAGTAAAACCGATAGTGTGGTTCGATTGTCACGAGATCCTCATCATAAGTCTGTAAATGCCATTTTAGAAAATTACGAGTGTCAAAGAGACCACAACGACTTACCGCTGTTGAACAGTAGTGCATTCCAAATGCATCGCACGTAAAAAGAACTTTGGAACCATGATCGAAGGTAAACATGGTGTCCGGCCAATGTAAATTAGGAGCCATCACAAACTCCAAGACATGACCTTTTCCCAGATCGAGCTTCTCCCCTCCCTGCGATCATACAGTTCCTGCAGTCAATAGAAAAAGCACAAAGAAATCACGGACAAAAACACACTCTTGTACAAAAAGAGATAGAAAAACAAAAGCAAAGCGAAGACGAAGTTTGATACAAACCTTTACGACCATGCTCTTGAACGGGGTGAGAACAAGGTTCTGCAAGAACTGTATGCAAACTTTGGACCCAACGACGACAGCATCCGGCGCAAGCTTGAGAATTTCTGGAATAAGGCCACTGTGGTCGGGCTCCGTGTGATTCGCGATAACGTAATTGATGGTGGCCGGATCGATCTGTTCCTTGAGTGCTGCAAGGTACTGGAACCGAAACTTCTCGTGTGACGCGTCGATGATCGCAAGCTGGTCTCCCTCGATGATGTAGGAATTATACGTTGTTCCATTTTGCAATCCAAACTCGCTGTTATTGCCAGCATTGGATCAAGAAATCACGATTGGATGGGAAAAATTCTCAACACTTACATATCGAAGCGATCTCGGTCCCAATCCAGCGATCGGAGCGTTGTCACAGCAGGCGCCACGGGAGATACCTGCGTTTGGAGCCGCTTCCCGCCCTGAATCTTTTCAATCCCCGAAATCTTGCTCCTCTCGGCGGCGATCGTGAAGCTAGAGCCAGATTTCGCGGAAATAATCGATCTTCTTCGACCAGTGCGATGCGTCGAGGCGGAGAACAATGCGCCCTCGCCCAAGCTCAAGCCCGCCATTGCCACAAAAACTCAACCCCCGGATCGACCGTTGATTGTTTAAGCCCATATCAGCCGTGGATCCACCAAAGCAATATCTGGGCCGTCTGTTGGCAAGAGATAAAGCTTAAGGATTAGGGTAGCCGCCAAGGGTTTTTGGCGACTGAAGCGTAGCAATGGGAGAGACTGCTTGCACATATGCCGCTCTAATCCTTCACGACGATGGGATCGCCATTACGGTAAGCGCTAGAGCTCTAGATTTTGGACGCGAAATTGATCGATCGTGGCGCTGGAACAGGCCGAGAAGATTGCGACGTTGGTGAAGGCCGCGAATGTGAAGGTGGACTCCTACTGGCCGAGCCTTTTCGCCAAGCTGCTTGAAAAGAGGAGCGTCGATGATCTCATCCTCAGCTGTGGATCCGGTATGCTAGAAAGTTCGTGAGATTTCTTGCTTTGACAATCCAATGGATTCGCAGGAGGTGGAGGGGCCGCAGTGGCCGTGAGCGCTGTTGCTGGGGATTCCGCGGCCGCGCCTGCCGCTGCCGAGGAGAAGGAAGAGAAGAAGGTATGAATTTGGGGGTTTTCCTCTGGTCTCTGGGCTGAAATTAGGTTTTTTGGCTTGAAACAGGAGGAAGCGAAAGAAGAGAGCGACGATGACATGGGCTTTAGCTTGTTCGATTAGTGTGATTCGGCGAAAAAAGAAAATTTTCGAAAGTTTTGAGCCAATGTAATTCAACCTTTTAATCTAGACTCTCTAATGAGCATATTCTTCGCTTTTTAATGTGAGAAAAAGGAATGCAAGAACGTAGCCTAGAATGGAAGAGGGCGTATTTCGCATCCTAGACGGAAGCTCTATTCGCGAGGCGCTGCTAGGGTCGCAGCTCCCGGATCGCGTGCGCCGCCGATTCCAGCGGCTTGTCAAGGCGGCGGATGGATCGCCGTCGTCTTCGTCTGTGGATGCGCGGATTGCTGCCGAGGAGGAAGCGGCGGCACTGCTTCTTGGATCGGAGCTGTGCGGGCGGCAGCTTGTGGTGACTGCTGCGGCGTCGCGGCTGCCCGATCCAAATACGCCGCTAGATGCCGCGGCTTTTGAGGCGAGTCTTCGCAGCTATCTCGAGGCCGTGGCGGATGCTCTCCAAGGTGAGGGGTTGATAGATTGCTTCGCCTTTTTTCCTCGATCGAGATTATTTCGTGTTCTTGATCCAGTTTCTTTGTCTAATCGATCTGTCCATTGCGCAGAAAAGCCGATCGTTGTGTCGGTTCTGGACGGATCGGCATTCAAGGGACTCTTGGAAGACGAGGACGAATTCGCGATGGTTGCAGAGAACGTTTTCGACGAACTGGATGCTGATAACAGTGGCAAGCTCAACCGTAGCGAGCTTCGATCTGCCGTGCTCCAGCTGGTTGCGGCAGTGGGATGTCCCAATCCATCTGGTAAGTTTCATCTTTCCACTTACATTGTAATAGCTTGATGGTTCTTCCTTTTTGTCATTCTCATTTTCAGCCAAGCCGGATGTTGAAGATCTCCTCACCAAGCTGCTAAGCAAATACGCTAGCCAAGATAGCAAAGAGCTCGGGCAAACCCAGTTCGCCAAGCTGCTCCAAGACGTTCTCCAGGATCTCTCCGAGACTCTGGCCTCGCAGCCCATTGTGGTTGTCCGGGACGTGAAAGTTTTGGATGGATCCAATCTCCGCAAGGTACTTCCTTCCAGCAAAATTCTCAAGGAAAAAAACGCTGACTCCAATCGATCAGGTGTTGCACGACGAGGAGCTCTTCTCGGACATGGCCAAGGACACGTTCAAGGAGCTTGACTCGGACAAAGATGGCAAGCTGAGCAAGTCGGAGATCCGCCCGGTTTTCGAGAGCCGCGCCGCCCAGTGGGGCCTCCCGCCGCTGGACGAAGACTCGGCGGATGAGCTCTACGCGCAAATTTTCAAGGAGATCGATGCCGATAGCAGCGGGGATGTGGACGAGCGCGAATTCCAGTCGCTGATGAGAGCGCTGATCGAGAGCTTCGCGGCGCAGCTCAAGATGAATCCCATTCTTGTAGATGTCGAGACCGCGGTTCAGTGAAAAAAAACTCCATTCCAGATTTTAGGGTTCTTGGGTTCTTTTGAAATTTAGGGCAGCGGGAGATCTGGCGATGGCGACACACGCGTTGCTTGTGGATCTTGCGCCAATCTTTGCGTTGCCTCATGCAAAGAATCGCCATTCCGACACTCCGGGCTCGCCTCGTATAAATCTCCACTGTAAGTCTCTTGAATTGGGGGAGTTTTTCCATTCTTCTAGCTGGACGATCTTGTGACATGGCTGTCGCGCCGGTGTCCGACCTCCAGATCGAAGTTGGCTCCTCCAAAATCGTCGCTCCAGCGCAGGCAGTGGAGCACAGCACACTGTTCCTCTCAAACATCGACCAGGAGGCAATGTACAAGGTGGAATCGGTCTATGTTTTCGCTGCCAACCCTGAGCGAGCGAGCGACGATCCTGCCGAGGTGATCGAGGCGGCGCTGGCGAAAACGCTGGTAACGTACTACTTCCTGGCCGGGAGATTTGCGCCGAATGCCAAGGAAGGACGGCTCGAGGTGAATTGCAATGGAGCCGGGGTCTTGTTCGCTGCTGCTACGAGCAAGCTCCGGCTTTGCGACCTGGGAGATCTCTCGGTTCCAAATCCAGCATTTCGGAGCCTCCTCGTCCAGCCGAGTGATTCTCTGGGATTGTTTGAGACTCCACCCGCAACGTTCCAAGTAAGTTCTCGCAAACTTCTTCTTGCTCTTCGTTCACGATGGTTCTTTCTTCTAGATCACTAGATTCAAGTGCGGTGGCTTCGTCTTTGGAATGACCATCTTTCACTCGCTGATGGACGGAGTTGCGATCACCGGCTTCTTCGACAATCTCGGCTCCATCGCGAGAGGTGGCGGCGTCGTCATGGTGCCGAATCCAAACCGGGAGTTCCTCAAGGCCAGGAATCCTCCGCAGCCGCAGCACTACGAGCAGCTCATGTGCCGCCAGTTCCGAGTGTCGAGCTTCTCCGAGATCCCGCTGCTGCCATTCAATCCCACGACGTCGAGCGTGAACAACTTCGCCCCGGAGAAGCACGTCTTCAGGAGCTTCCCGGTGTCGAGCCAGATGATCTCGGAGCTCAAGCAGGCCTGCCTCAAGGACGAGACACTCTCCCGCTGCTCCAGCTTCGAGGCCATCACCGCTCACGTCCTCCGCCAAGTCGCGCGCTCCCGCCCCAGCGATCCCTCCGCGCTCGTCTCGACGTTCCTGGCGGTGGACTTCTCCCGGAGGCTCCAGCCGCCGCCGCCGCCCAACTTCTGCGGCAACGCGGTGGTGGCGGCGTGCGTCGCCGCCACCCGCCAGGAGCTTTGCACCTACAGCCTGGGCCACTTCGCGCGCCGAGTCCAGGAGGTTCTCAGCGACGTCGACGACGAATATGTGCGATCCTGGACGGACTTCTGGGAGCTCCATCGCATCGGCCCCGCGAGGATTCCAATCGGCGCCTGCCTCTCCGCCTGGTGGAAGCTGCCATTCTACGCGCTCGACTTCGGGTGGGGGACGCCAATCTTCGCGGGGCCGGTCCCAAACCAGCTGGTTGGATTCATCGTGATCGTGGCGAACGGGAAGAACGATGGCGGAGCAAACGTTTATCTCGGCTTGGAGCCGCAAGAGATGGCGGCGTTCGAGAAGAACATCTACGAGCTAGCCGAGTCTCCGCCGCTAATACACGCAGCGTTTTAGATTAAACAAAAGTGAGATTTGCGCGCTAAGTAAGCAAGATTGAAAAGAGATTGTGGACTTTTCTGAGAGAATCCAAGCTAACCGGGGGATGACGTCATGCGCGGGCCATGCCCATGCCCATGCATGGAGAATATGCCACCCCCATTTGGTCCGCGTTTTCACACGGAACTTCTTTCCCTTTTTTCATTCCTCTAGCCTAGTGTGTGTGTGTGTTCTTCGCGCAACGCAGTAATCGCTCCACAGTTGGCACGCGCGGTGGCGGAGGGCGTGCGATCGACCATTGCAGCTTTGATTTGCGGAGGGGCAGGGATTTCAGCTTGGATCCGGGGCGGTGATGCGTCGCCGGAGCTAGGGTTTGGTGGTGGGGTGGGAATTGGCGTGGATCTCATGGCGGCGGCGCTGTAGCTGGCCATGGTGTGCTCGAATTTCGGGTTTTGGGGCGATTGCGTGCTGCGATTCGGCTCCGGGCGGGGACCTGGAAGAGGAGCGGGGAGGTAAGGGCAGCGGCGCTGCATGGGACAAGGGGGACGCGGGGAATTTTTGGCCCGGCGCTACAGGTTTTCGGAAGATCTCATGGATCTGGATGGGGACGCATCGACCTCAGGAGGAGAAGGCTACATCGTGCACTATGTTTCGAAGCGGGACACTCTTGCGGGAATTGCCATCAAGTATGGTGTGGAGGTTTGTGCTCGATGAAAACTTTGGTGTAGGAATGGAAAACTAACTAGAAAAATTCATCCAGGTTGCCGATGTCAAGCGACTGAATGGCTTGTCAACAGATCTTCAAATGTTTGCACGAAAGAGCCTTCGCATCCCATCGTCGGCAAAGCATCCTCCATCAGAGCAGTTCGCATCACACAGGTACATTTTTTCATTCTAGTTCTCGAAACCTTGAAGATAAAAACAATCTTTCTTCCTTTTCGATGCATGTTAGCAGCAGTGCGAACTCAGAGCAGCCTCGTCTCGGGAGACATTCGTTCTGCGACATCGTGCTTCCCAACAAGAGCGAGGAGCCAACGAAAGTGAGCTCCGCGATGAGCTTGATGAGAGGTTACTACGGGTTATCGACATCAAAACTCGAGGGTGAAGGAACCGAGATGGAAGTCTACAGAACAGACAATGGCTATCAATCCGAGGACGAGCCATTCACTCCGCGGGACCAGGTCTCCAACAGACCAAGAGCTCACGCTCCCACCAACTTGGCCACGGAACCAAAGCTCGCCAGCTTCAACAGCATGGTGAGCATGGCTAGAGATTTCGTGGCCCACGAAGTAGAAAAGGCGAGGGAGCGTGTCGCGGTGCGGCGGCGTCCCAAAGGTGAAGCTCTAGCGGCCGAGGATCATAGTGCTAAGCAGCAACTTCTTGGTGACAGGACAAACTACGCAGTGAGAAGCAGCGTTCCAAGGCCGAAAGCTTCGAGACTAGGACTAGAGGTAGAGGTGGATTGCCCGGCTGGTCGAGCCGTGGTCTTCAACTCCGGGGGCGAAGCTGGGAATGGGAAAGGCCTACGCAGTGGCAAAGTAGTGGAAGAGCTCATCTTCAAGCTCAAGAAGTCGCCCAGCGCTCCAAACTTCCAGGACGAGAAGCCTCCGCCGTCTTCCATGCTCAAGAATGGAAGCAAAGGAGATCTAGCGAGCTGGAGCCAGGCACATAGCCAGAGCAGCGTGACGATACCATTGCTGGACAGCTTCACGAGGCGCAGCAAGGCTGCATTAGACTGAATAGAAAGGATCCGGTTTTGGATCGAGCAGAGCAGCGACACCATTCTTTGATCGAGGACGCAGCAAGAAGGATCCGATGGAAGTGAGAACGAGAAGAAAGAGGAGTTTTTGGGCTGCAAGACTCGCACGAATAAGTTTCTTCGCTAGAAGTGACCAGATAGAAGAAATTCATAGTGTTTGTAATATACGAGGTAGAAACTAGGAAATTCTTTCATTCACGCACGACCGTCGATTGGCGGGGGCGTTACGATCCGGAATGGCATTGGCGAGGCAAAATATCGTGGGCCAATGTCTGGCATTATTTTAATCTTAGCCTGGCTTTACTGGTAAAAGGAAATGCCCGGCGCTTGTATCTTCCTTTAAAACCATGACCTTGTGTGGCGAGCAAGCTTTTTAGGGTTGGCAGTGTGGAGATAGGAATTAGGGATTTTAGCGGCAGGCGATGCATGGCGCGGAGGTAGGCGCTGTGGATCCTCGCGTTGGAGAGCTTGGTCGCGCCGGGAGTGGAGATTTTTGAGCTGCGGCGCTGCGATTAGTGCTTGGCTGCGGGGGTTTAGGTCCGGAATTTCTTGTGCTGCTGCCAATCTCATGGTCTGCGAGGGATGACAATGTGCCAGAGGCCTGTTGGTGACCCCTGCCAAAAGCTTCTCGAGGAGAGCCGGATTTGCGCCGGAGGTATCGATCAGAGCTACACGAACCAGGAGTGGAATGCTTTTGTGGACGATGCTTGCGTCCAGCATGGCGTGCAAGGGGCCGAGTCCGTGGCTGCCCAGGCCGAGCCGGAGGCGGACATGGAGCTTGACCAGCTGTTTTTCTTGCTCAAAGAACCGGAAAAAAATCTGGTGAGTTGTTTTTAGAATTTTTTTTTCGTTCTCCAACTTAGCTTTGTTCTTTTCTTTGTGGCAGCAAGATATAGTCGGGCAGGACGAGATTCTAGCAGCGCCAGAAACTAGCCCTTTAGTACAAGCGCCACAAGAGTGTAAGTTGGCTTCTGTTTTTTTTTTTTTTTTGTTTTTTCTGTTTCTGAAAAACTTGTTTTCCAGATACCCATGGAGTGTCACCTTCTTTACATGATCCCTCGTCTTCGGCAACATTCCCGTACTATCAATCCAGTGACTACGACAGGTCTAGCGGTTCAGTTATCGGGGCAGAGGGCGAGGTTTATGATCCAACGTTGAATTCCACTACTTTCACTCCAGTGTGTGAGAGCTCCTGGTCTTTTGGTAATGGTGCTGCGGCGAAGTCTGAGGTTATCGAGATTAGTGACGGTGAAGAAGATGAGGTTGGGATTGTAGGAGAGAAGCGCAAGCTGCCCCTGAGCTTCGCTTCTCAGGAGACCACTTCGAAGGCCTGGTGGTATGCTCAGGAGCAGACCAACGCCAGCGTAAAGAAAGAAGAGAACGGGAACGCTGAAGTTCTTAACTCAGATGACGAGTCTGATCAACGGGACGAAAGAGGTGGAACCACCCGGAGGCATTACTCTTCAGAACCACGGGTACAGGAAGATAGAAACCTCCGAACAATCTTGCAGGTACGTTTTTAGATTGTTCATTGCGGCAGCGATTTTATTTCTTTTTCGGTAGAGGATGATCACTGTCGATGAAAAGGAAGAGGCCAGTCCAGAGGAGGGCTTGATGACAATTCCTCTTCTCAAACATCAGGTGCGACTTTTTCTTATCTTCAACCTCTTCTAAGAAGCTTTTCTATGCAGAGAATAGCTTTGGCGTGGATGGAAAAGAGTGAAAATCGTGTGGAATGTTCTGGGGGAATCCTTGCAGACGATCAGGTAGGCCTATGTGATGGTGGTCATGTTTTTCCTGATTGCTGAGCTTTTTGTTGTGTGTTCGTAGGGACTTGGTAAAACCGTGTCTACGATAGCACTTATCCTTAAAGCTCGGGCGCCAGTTTCAAAGCTAAACTTGGCCATATCGGAGACAGCACTTATTGAATCTGAGCCTGTGGATCTTGACGACGATGAGGATGGGGACAAAGACGATGACGAAAGTTCTCAAAAGCTGGATGATAGAAAGTCATCTCTAGGCAGAGGAAGAAAAACAGGTGGCACCCTTGTTATCTGCCCAACGAGTGTTTTGAGACAGTGGGCACATGAGATCAAGGCAAAGGTGACACCCGCCGCGAATCTCTCGATTTTGGTATATCATGGAAGTAGCAGGACAAGGAGTGCCGACGACCTTGCGAAGTACGACGTTGTTCTAACAACGTATCCAATCGTGAGTATGGAGGTGCCGAAGCAGCTATTGCCAGAAGAGAAAGAAGAAGATAAGAGGAATTACGATGACTACGGGCTTGGCAACTTTCGAGGATATCCGAAAAAGAAGAGCAAGCCAAAGAAGAGACTCTCGGACGAGAAGATTCCCGAGTCGGGTCCTCTAGCAAAAGTGAGCTGGTATCGAGTTGTTTTGGACGAGGCGCAAAGCATAAAAAATTCAAGGACACAAGTAGCTCGGGCTTGCTGGGGGTTGAGGGCCAAGAAGCGATGGTGTCTATCAGGTACACCAATCCAGAATGCAATTGACGATCTGTACAGCTACTTTCGCTTCCTACGCTTCGACCCGCTGGACACGTATAAGTCCTTCAGATCGGAGGTGAAGGACCCGATCACTCGAAATCCAGTTTTGGGATATAAGAAACTGCAGCTGATTCTTCAGGTGGTTATGCTTCGTCGAACAAAAGGCAAGTTTTTTGTATTTTCTATCAAATCTCTGACGACTTTTTTCTTTTTCAGCAACATTGATCGATGGACAACCAATCGTAAACTTGCCTCCGAGATTTGTTTGCCTCCAACAGGCTGAATTCAGCGAAGAGGAGCGTATATTCTATAATAGTTTGGAACTCGAGTCACGCAGACAGTTCCAGGTATGATAGTCTGGTTGTTTTGTCTGCCAACTGACTTCATGTCTATGTATGCCACCAGGTTTATGCTGAGGAGGGCACGCTTCAGAGTAACTACGTGAACATCTTGTATATGTTACTGCGGCTTCGGCAAGCGTGCGACCACCCTCTCCTTGTCAAGGAAACAAACAACGAGTCGACGGAGTTCGACGCGGTTGAAAACGTAAAGAAGTTGGCGCTGGAGAGAAGGGTGGAGCTCCAGAATACTTTGGATCGGAACAAGTCCATATGCACTATATGTGCGGTAAGTTTTTTTGTTTGCTTTCGGGGCTATGTCTAATATTTTGTGAACATTTCAGGATGTTCCCGAGTGGGCCGTTATAAGCTGGTGTGGTCACGTCTTCTGTAGGCAGTGCATCTCAGAGAAGCTAGCCACCAGCGATGACACTGAATGCCCTTTCCCAAAGTGCACCATTCAGCTCAACAGTTGCCTATTGTACAGCCTGACTGCGTTGAGGAATTGCAACCTGGGTATTGAGCCCACCACCAACAACAATAACAAGGGAAAGAAGAAAAGGCAGCCAACCGACACCAACGGATGGATCTCGTCTTCCAAGATTGAAGCGGTCATGAAGCTGCTGAAAAATCTTCCCGTAAAAAATCCTGCCGGACCAGCGCCAGACGGGACACGAAGGAGAGCTGAGACAGAAAAGGCGATTGTTTTCTCCCAGTGGACAAGTATGCTGGACTTGCTGGAGCCCCAGCTAAGGAAGGCCGATCTTCGTTTCAGCAGATTGGATGGTACAATGACTGTTGTGGAAAGGGACTCTGCGGTCACGGAATTCAACACCAATCCAGAGGTACGCAATCCTTTTTTCTCAAAACAAACTTTGTCTGACGTCGTTTTCTTCACAGGTGTCTGTGATGATCATGTCACTCAAGGCCGCAAGCTTGGGACTCAACATGGTTGCTGCGTGTCATGTTCTTCTTCTCGATGTGTGGTGGAATCCCACAACGGAGGACCAAGCCATCGATCGAGCTCATCGTATCGGACAGACTCGTCCCGTCCACGTTTCAAGGTTTACCGTGAAGAACACCATTGAGGATCGAATTCTAGCGTTACAGGTACGAGCTTTGAATGTGAAGCTTTGGTTTAATGGTCTAACGCTCTTGTTTGCGCAGGAACGAAAGAAGCAAATGGTTTCGTCGGCGTTTGGAGAGAACGAAGGGAACAATCAAAAGAGTAGGCTCACAATGGACGACATACGCTTCCTCTTCTCGGGCTGACAGACGAGAGAATAAACACAAGAACAAAGGTACGTGAGTGAGTGAAGGCGTCCGAAATTTTGGATTTGACAATTTACCGGCCCAGAGATTTTAGCTTGTATGATACCATTTGATGAAATAGTAGTCTTATACTACGCTCGCTAGAGACTCGTAAGCATGTCTTTCAATTTCTGTTTGAGAAAAGTTCTCGTTTCTTTTGCAGAAGATGGTTTCTAGAACTCGGATGAATCGACCTCTTCCGGAAACTTGGACAGCATCTTGGTGACCACGGCGATCACTGCCTCGACGTCGGGCCTGTTTGCGACTCGAGGCTCTACCATCCACGAAACGAGCTTGTGAAACGAGCGAGGATATGGCGGAGTGCTCGGCCATTTTATCTGCCCGCTCATGGACGCCAACTGTAAGCTTCCGCCGGCCTCGCTGAGTGAGTGCTCGAATGGCGAGACGCAGTACCTGAGAAGAGTAGAGACGAAGCCTCTCAATCTCAAAACTTTCGGAGAAAAAACTTACAAAGTTGGAGGAAGAACTTACATGATCGCGAAGAGTGTACAGCCGAGTGACCAAACGTCGACTCGCTCGTCAATGTCCGCGATGCTGGGACAGTCCCACAGCTCCGGTGCTCGATACGGAGCCGAGCAGTGCTCGGCGGCCCATTCCTGTGGACAAGGCAAGCTGTTCGCATTCGGTGACAAAGCTAACTTCTTCTCCTCCTCCTCTTTTTCTTTGGCTTTGTTACCTGGATGGCGAGAGCTTCCGAGCGAGACCGAACGCGTTTCCTTGCTAGAGTCGCGCTGCCAAAGTCCATCACCACTGCTTTGGGTGGATCTTGGTTGCTGGACTTGGAAAGGAGAACGTTTCCTGGCTTGACGTCGTTGTGGGAGTAAGATGGATCGTGCTTGTGCATTTGCTTCAAAGCTTGGCAGATCTGTGCAAAGAAGAAACGAGTGTGATGAAGATCGAAGAAGCCACGACTGGTTTTCTACCTGTTGGAAGATGTGAAGAACCGTGACTGCTGGGAAGAACTCGCCTCTAGATCGCATCTCCTCCAGCTGACTTTGGAGCGTTCCATCGGGATACACTGGAAACAAGAGATAGGCCTCGGTGTTCCAAGTGCCTTCTCGCGATCCCTGCTTGGATTGTTTCACGCTGAGAGCGATCTTGGATCGGAGAAAGAGAGGCAAACCTTGACGGCGATCATGGAATGCTCCAGGAGAGGCAGGAGATTGGGATGCTTGAAGAGCGACGAGACTTGGATCTCGCGCTTGACGAGCGCGAGCTGCTCCTCGGACTGGATCAGCACTTTCTTCACGGCATACAGACCGTCGTCTGGAAAGAGATCGAGCAAAATATCGGTCAATCGAGCGATCTAGCAGGGCGCGCGCGCGTGGGGACGAACCTGAGACTTGGGAGGATTGCTTGAGAGGCCGATCGCCTTGGATCTCCCGGGCGAGGTAGACGAACGCGAATCCGCCCTCGCCGAGCTGCCGCACGATCCGGAAGCGGCGCTCGTTGATCCAGATGTCGGCGGCGCCGCTGACGGCCTCATAGAGCGCATTCAGCCCCGAGAACGAGCATCCCATAGCTCATTCCTCTCACGCGAGCGCGTGGAAAATTAGGTCTAGATCGAAGATCATCATCGTTGGTTCGTATAAACCCTAGAATCTAGGGCTCCAGTTGTGGTGAGAGCGCTCAGTGCCTCCAGCCGCCCAAGCCGCGGTGAGGGGGGGCGCGATGGATCGCCTCACTAGGATCGCGATTGTCAGCTCCGATCGTTGCAAACCCAAGAAGTGCCGGCAGGAGTGCAAGAAGAGCTGCCCCGTGGTGAAAACAGGCAAGGTTTACTTCTCTCGCGCTAGATCTGCGATGGCCTAATTCGAATTCCAGGGAAGCTGTGCATCGAGGTCTCGTCCGCATCGAAGATCGCATTTATTTCGGAGGAGCTGTGCATCGGTTGTGGTATTTGCGTGAAGGTCGGTGCAAGCTTCTATTTTTTCGTGGGCTTTTATGGTTCTTAGTTGTTGTGGTGTGTGGCAGAAATGTCCCTTTGAAGCGATACAGATCATCAATCTTCCCAAGGACCTTGACAAAGATACCACGCATCGATACGGAGCAAACACTTTCAAGCTCCACAGGTTTGCTTGTTTCCCAGATGCGTTGTGGTGGTGACTTGTAGTTCACGTAAACAGGCTGCCTGTTCCAAGGCCAGGCCAGGTCTTGGGTCTTGTTGGCACGAACGGTATCGGGAAATCTACTGCGCTGAAAGTTCTTGCTGGAAAACTCAAGCCCAACCTTGGGAAGTTTGCGGTACTTTCGATTTTTTATTTATTTATTTTCTTGTTCATGACATTGTTTTGTTGTAGAATCCGCCGGACTGGCAAGAGATCTTGACATACTTCCGAGGATCCGAGCTACAGAACTACTTCACACGTATTCTGGAAGATCACCTGAAGGTAAGGAAACTTACAGTTCACTCCATCACTTAAACCTTCTGCCTCAGGCCATCATCAAACCACAATACGTCGATCATATTCCCAAAGCAGTTAAAGGCAACGTCGGGGAAGTTCTCTCGCAGAAGGACGAAAAGGATCTGAAAACGGATCTGTGCCATGATCTGGATCTAAATAACGTCTTGGACCGAGATGTCGGGGATCTGTCCGGTGGGGAGCTCCAACGTTTCGCTATTGCCGTGGTGGCCGTGCAGAATGCTGAGATTTACATGTTTGACGAGCCATCCAGCTATCTCGATGTCAAGCAGAGGTTGAAAGCTGCTCAGGTCGTTCGTTCCCTTCTGAGGCCAAATAGGTAAGAGTTCTTTTCTTTCTTGGTTTTTCCACTCAACCTTTCTGATTTTTCGACAGCTATGTGATCGTTGTGGAGCATGACTTGAGCGTGCTAGACTACCTGTCCGACTTCATCTGCTGCCTCTACGGGAAACCAGGTGCTTATGGTGTTGTGACGCTTCCCTTCTCCGTGAGAGAAGGTATCAACATTTTCCTCGCTGGATTCGTTCCCACGGAAAATCTGAGGTTCCGTGATGAGTCACTTACTTTCAAGGTATGAATCAGTCTTGCAAACTCTATCTGCTTAAGACGTTTTCATTCATATGTAAGGTTGCTGAGAGTGCTCAAGAAAGCGTTGAGGAAGTCCAGACGTACGCTCGGTACAAGTATCCGTCTATGTCGAAGACTCAAGGAGGCTTCAAGCTTCAAATCAAGGAGGGCGAGTTCACGGACTCGCAAATCATCGTGATGCTTGGGGAGAATGGAACTGGGAAGACTACGTTCATAAGGATGCTGGTACGTGTTTAGAAACTTTGTCACTCTTTCCCGCAAGTTCATGATGTTGTCTTCTACCAGGCTGGTTTGCTGAAACCTGACGATGTGGATGACTCCGTGGACATTCCGGAGTTCAACGTCTCGTACAAGCCACAAAAGATCAGTCCCAAGTTCCAGTCGACAGTGCGGCACCTGCTTCACTCGAAAATCCGCGACTCGTACATGCATCCTCAATTCAACACGGACGTGATGAAGCCGCTCCAGATCGAAGCGCTCATGGATCAGGATGTTGTCAACTTATCCGGTGGAGAGCTCCAGCGCGTTGCGCTCTGCCTTTGCCTTGGAAAGGTACTACTCCTTCCTTCACATTTCTTTCTTTCCAATGGATCTTAACACATGCTTGCATTTGCAGCCTGCTGATATCTACCTTATCGACGAGCCCAGCGCTTACTTAGACTCCGAGCAGCGTATTGTGGCATCCAAGGTGATCAAGCGATTCATCCTCCACGCCAAGAAGACCGCCTTCGTGGTGGAGCACGACTTTATCATGGCGACATACTTGGCGGACAGGGTCATCGTCTACGAGGGGAGGCCATCGGTGGATTGCATTGCCAATCCGCCCCAGAGTCTCCTCACAGGAATGAATCTCTTCCTCTCTGTGAGTAGCTTCTTTCTTTTTTTCTTTTCGTTTCTCCATGGATCTTACGTTTGTTTCGCTTTGCAGCACCTGGACATCACCTTCCGGCGAGACCCCACGAACTTCAGGCCTCGCATCAACAAGCTCGACTCCACCAAAGATCGAGAGCAAAAGGCCGCGGGATCCTACTACTATCTCGACGATTGAGCAAGAGATATCGTCAGCGATCTCTCCTTTTGCGCAAGTTTTGTATCAGTAGCAATGTAGAGTACTCATATCTAAGTTCTAAGCTGTGATCGCGCTCGTGATGCTATCCTCAAGTAACTTCTTCGTAATAAAATGATATATTACAAATATTAGGGCATGGTTGGATCGCGAGAGGATGGTGCTCGAGCTATGGCGCATGGCCGTTGTGTGGACGCTCGTTCTGCTATGCGCGTATTTCAGGCTCTTGTTTCGGCTGGTGTTTGGTCGCGCCGCCATTTATCCTCGCTGCGCGCCCGCCTCGCATTGCGCTCGAGCTTGCATCGTCACTGGGGTATGTTTCTCTCTTTCGTTTTGATCCTCTCTAGCTTTAAGTGATGTTCTTCCCAGGCTTCGTCGGGGATTGGGAAGGCAACCGCAGAGATCCTGGCTCTCGAAGGCTATCACGTAGTTCTAGGTAGCAGCAAGCTTTCTCTTCCTTTTGCTTCGCTTCTTATTCTTTGATCAGCTGGAAGATCACTAGCCAACCTTGAGAAGGTATGCCTACATTCTCTTATCCATCGCTGACTTGGGAGTTCTCTTAGGCTGCGAAGGAGCTACACAAGACGCATGAAGATCTTTTGCTCTATCCCATGGTGCTCGACCTGTGCTCAGTGCCATCAATACTGAGTTTCGTGAAATCGGTGGAGGAGTGGCTGGGAACTACACAAGTCTCGCTCCAGCTGCTCGTCAACAATGCGGGGATTTTTGCCGCGACTCCGCAATGCACGAGCGATGGATACGATCGGTAACAAACTTTCTCCCTCTTTCTTTTCTTTCTTTCTTTCTCTCACTTCTCGTTTTATCCTTTTGCATTTCAGGGTGGTCATGACGAACTATCTGGGGCCTTACATACTCACGCAATTGCTTCTTCCGAAGCTTCAAAAGTCCTCGCATACGGCACGTATTGTGAATGTCGTTTCTTTCACGCACAGATCCTGTGAGTACATTCTTGCGCAAACGCTCTCTTGTGCGCTGAACTTCGCTTTCCAGCGCGAAAGCTTCCTTCAGAATTTTGGAAGATGCTGGGAAAGAAAAAGCTGGACGACGAGGACAACTATAGAATGGCAATGACTTACGAGGTTTCGAAACGTAAGCTCCTTGCTAACATGATACTTGGTTCTTCCGCTTCTGATTCACCATATTTGTAGTTTATGAACTTTTGTGGACATATCAGCTCCATCGGAAGTACTTGCGAGTTTCAGTCATGTAAGATCCAGTTCATCTTTGTCTAGCGTTGAGTTTCTTGTTCATTTCTACAGGGCAGCTGATCCGGGGGTAGTCGAGACGAAAATCCTGAGAGAGCTGCCGTGGTGGCTTGTGCAGTTCGCGTTCATGATGCTAAAAGGAGTGTTTTTGCTACAATCGCCACGGTGTGGAGCGAGAGCCGTGGTTGATGCCGCTCTAGCTCCCATGGTAAATCCAAATCCTCATCGCCACCCTTCTAAATCCCCTTCACAACTCGCAGGAAGTCTCTGGGAAGTATTTCTTCGGTGGAAACGGCTTCACGCTCCCTTCATCGGCGCTGTCCCGCGACGAGAAACTGGCCAAGCGGCTATGGAACCTCACAGAGGAGGCCTACGCGGCAATCATGGAACGCTACACAGCGTAAGTCGGTTCATTCACATCTCAAACTCTAAAAACTTGTGATCTTTGTTTCGTTCCCAGACCATCCTCAAATTTGTTTCGTAGGAGGTAAGAGTCTCGAAGAAAATCAAAGAGCATCGTCAAGAAATCAAAGAGCATTGTCAAGAAATCAGGCTCAAAGAAAGTAAAGAGCATTGTCAAGACAATTGGCTCTTTTTTTTCTTCTTCTTTTTCTTTGCCACTAGATTGCGTACTGGAGGTTTTCTGGCTCGCCAACTTTACTGAGAGTGGACAAATATGTGGCTCTTGGCCAAGCCGTGCGCACTGGTCACTGTCCCCGCCACCTTGGCACCGACGTGGCACAAAGTGTGGACACTGGATCACGAGCTGCCCGGCGAAACGCGCCAGCGTGGAGGCGCCAGTGGGAAAGATAAAGATTGACAGGCGCCCATCGCTAGCCACGTGTGCGAGCCTTCCACGTGGCGATAAAGGCTTGGTTGTTGGTGACGCATCCTATCTACACTGGGGGGCGTATATTCGCGAGGCGAGAAATGGCTATGGAGGTTCCATCTAGTTCTTCCAGTCAATCCATAGCGCGCTCTGCCCTTTGGCGCTGACACTCGCGATTGGATCGTCAGGTACTGGTTGGATCGGTGATGGATTAGCGGCTTAGCTGAACGGCACAAGGCAGATTTCTTGGTTCTTTGGATCACGATCGAGGATTCCAGCGAAATATCGGAGAATCGATCGCCAAATCTTGGCATCGACGGCCATTTCCATCGAATCGACCGATATTTCGGCCAAATCTTGCGGCATCGACGGCCATTTCCACGAATCGATCGATCCAGCAATGACGAAGCCATGCGATGCGTGCCAGTCGGGGAATGCAGTGATCTACTGCCGGGCGGACGCGGCCTTCCTGTGCTGTTCTTGCGACAACAAGGTCCACTGCGCCAACAAGCTCGCGTCGCGACACGAGCGCGTCCTCGTCTGCGAGGTCTGCGAGCACGCCCCGGCGGCGGTCACCTGCAAGGCGGACGCGGCGGCGCTGTGCGTCACCTGCGACAGCGATATCCACTCCGCCAATCCCCTCGCCCGCCGCCACGAGCGCGTGCCAATCACGCCCTTCGTCGACTCTAGCGACGGCGGCGCCGCTCCTCCTCCAGCTCCGCCAATCCTCCACGACACCGGCAACGCGAACCACGTCAAAGCCCAGGACCACCACGACCAGCAGCAGCAATGCAGCTATCTTCTCAAGGACGAGGACGAGGACGACGAGGAGGAGAGCTCCGCTGCGGAGGCCGCGTCGTGGCTCCTCCCACAGCCCAACAATCTCGCCAAGAGCGATGGAGAGAAGCTCGGCGGCGGCGGTGGCAGTGGCGGCTCCAGCGATGGCGGCGCTGGAGACGGCGACTCCAACGATCCCGACGACTTTGCTGGCGGAGGCGATGGTGGCGGCGATGTTGGAGTGGAGAGCACCGACTTCTACTCCACTCTCAAGCCATCGGCACCTCCGCCCCTCCGGATCGAGAAGCTCCTCCTCAAGTCCCAGGCCGCGGCCAACTTCGATCTCTTCTCGGACGAGGACTCCTACTTGGACATGGACTTCCTGGGCGCGCTCCACTCGGTCACCGACAGCTTGGTTCCAATCCACACCACCGGAGGAGCTCTCCACTCCTCCTCGCCAGTGGGATCCAACGCCGACTCATACGATCTCGACGTCCACGACAAATCACCTCCACACGCCTACTGCCCCGGCCTGAGCCTCAGCGTAAGTTCTTCACAAGCTCTCTCTTTTCACGTTTATAATCTTCGCTCTTTCCTCCGCCAGGCATCCTCGATCGATGTTGGAGTCGTCCCGGACGCAAGCTTGAGCGACATCTCAACTCCCCAGAGCCGGCCGACTTCTTCGTCAGTGTTTGGCAGCGGCGAGGCGCAGGCGGCGGCGGCGCCACTCCACCACGCCACTCCCCTCGAGCCGATCGCGCGGGAGGCCAGGGTGCTGCGCTACAGGGAAAAGCGCAAGAACAGGAAGTTTGAGAAGACGATAAGGTACGCTTCTCGCAAAGCTTACGCTGAGACCCGGCCCAGGATCAAAGGAAGGTTTGCCAAGCGAGGCGAGATGGACTCTTACGATGCCTCCTTTGGCGTTGTTCCTTCCTTTTGAGCTCTCGCCCGGAGTTTCTTCGCGTTTTAGCTCTTGACAGTTGGCTCCAGTGAGAGAGCTGCTCCAAGTTACTTGGAGAGCGGGCTCTCGTTCCACCATAGCCGAGCTCCCGGTCTACGTAAAATCTCACAGCTTGTACAGTGATCACCGGCGTGCTGCTGGAGTCCCTTTTTTCTTTGATGCGCGATTTCTTCCTGGACGTACTATAATGTATTTCACTATCGCAAACAAATCAAAGTTACACGTTAGAAGCTCTCTCCGAGTCAAGGAGAATCAAAAGTATACCTTCACAGATAGACTTTATTTCTTGCGAGCATTGGATCAAACTCTCAGCTCAGCCACCTCGCCACGCCATCGTCCTCTCCCACGGCTGCCAGTACCTCCATTGACACGTCCATGGACACCTTTATGAGTTGTGACAGTGAGGAGTCAGTGAAAGAGAGAAAAATGAAAGAGACGCCGCGCTGGATAGCGCTACTTACCCCTCTGAATTTGCTATTCACGAGCGTACAGTCGCTCAGCTGGGACCCTTCGAGCACCCAGCTCTCCCACATATCGAAATTGTGGTTGAGGAACACGAGCTCCGATTTCTTGTTGGACTGCACACACACATAAAAGCATTGACAGGAGATAAAACATAAGATCGAGGAGAACCTGTAGAAGCTTTCCACCAGCAGCCAGTGATCTCAAACCAAGACGATCCTGAAACCAAAGAGAAGAACATAGAAATGTTTAGTCCTGTGTAAGAGAGCTATGGAAAAATGAAAAAAAACGTACTCTATTTCGTAGCACCACGAGGAACTGAGCAGCAGGATCTCTGGGAGTGACATCCGACATGACGTCCAGGCACCACCTTCGTCCGGGACCTTTCTGCCGAGCAACGTAGTAACCATTCCCAGTCACTGGACGGACAGCAACGACGTAGCCTTCCTTCAGCACATCGATCGCTTGAAGGTCCTGCACGGACTCGCTAGCCGGTTTCTCCGAGCTCACGTCCGCGTCTTCGCGTCGGGCCTTGGAATCGTCGGGCGAGGTGAAACGGGAAGTTGAATTCACCGCTTGGTCTCTCCCGCTTGTGCCCCCGGGATCATCTCTTTGCAATGCCACCCAGTTAGCATCTCTCTCCGGAACTGGGAACGATTCTGGCACCTGGTGAGATTTCCGTCTCGAGCCCCTCTTCTTCGACTTCTTTCCCGATTTGTTGTACATACTGCGAGCCTCGCGGATCTCCTGTGGCGGATAAACAAGCTGCTTCCGGTGAAACTGCTGGCCGGTCTGCGAGTCTGCAATCCACTGATCGTCTTCTTTGGCACTTTCTCTCTCGAACCGCTCATGCTTCTCTTCCTGCCAGTCCTCTTCGTCCTCTGAAACAGAACTCGCAGGAATAACTCCATTGACAAGATAGGACCTCAGCAGAGAAAATGCCTTTAACCGGATTTCGTTCCACGCATCGTCACTGTAATCGGCACTCCGAGGAAGAATTAACACGTTTGACATCTCCCTGACCTGTAGAAACACGAGTCAAGTTCCAAACATGTCGCATAAAAAAACCAGGTGCTTACCCACGCTTCCAGCCATTGCGGACCTTCGACGCCATCCAAAGCGCAGCCAGCAATGATGCCGTCAATGAGAGCTTGCTTCACAGCGCAGTCGTCGAGTAGATGGCAGCTGCTTGAATTCACAATAATAGCCCCTGAGCGAAAGCACGCTGAGCTCGTCAACAAAAATTCGTGTAACACTAGAATGCGGTCATTCACGCATGGCATGCAAACGAAACCAAAAAAGAAAAAGAGAAAAAGGGTACCTGGTTTGATGTACTGCAAAGCTTCGGCGTTTATAATCTGGACGGTGTCGTTGGTGAGCGGGCAGTGAAGCGAAACCACATCACTTTGAGAAAGAAGCTCATTCAGACTTTCCACTTTGGTAGCAAACGCAGGAAAAGACTTGCGAGTCTGCTCTTTCACCTGATAGAAAATCCACAAACAAAGTTAGCAGCTCCCTCGAAAGCACCATCAAAAAAAAATCCACAACAAAGTTAGCAGCTCCCTCACAAGCACTAAGGAAAAAAAAAATTCTTACCTCTTCGGTCTCATAGTATATCACTCTCATCTTAAACGCCAGGCAGCGAACCGCAAGAGCACAGGCGGATGGCGTCCGACCAACGATCCCCATGACGAGCCCCCGGCATCTCCTCATCCCCTTGCACAGCGGCTGGATCGATCCCAGCCAGCCAGCGCTTGCAAATCCCTGAGCCGAGAGAGAATGCGTGTGCCTCAGCAATCCCAGGAGCAACGCCATGACCGTGTCGGCAATCTCCTCGCCCCTCCCACAATCCACATGAACGAGCTTGAGTCCCATCTCGGCCGCCGCGGCGGAATCCGCCGGCTTGTTAATAGATCCCAGGCAGAGAATCAGCTGCCAGGGCTGGAGCCGCCGCTGCGCCGCGCGGGGGAGATCCAGGGAATGGATGATCACGGCCGCCGCAGTCTCCAGCTTGCCCTCGGCAATCTGCGCGAGGTTGAGGTGCTCCAGCGTCGCAATGCCGGCCAGAGCATCGGCATTGAGGATCTGCCAATCCTCGAGGCAATTCAGCGCGACGACGAGAGGAAGCCCAGGGATCCCCGCCGCCGCTGCCCCGGCCACTTCCTTGACGATCTTGCTGCTGTTGCCCACTGCGTAGCTCGGATTTTGCGAGGTGGCGCCATTGCCGGGGGAGCTCACATCGACCTTGGTCATCCTGGCTTGCAAATCTGGCCAATGCTCCCTCTAGGCTCTGGATTTCCCCCGCATTCTCTCCTGGATGCCAAAGCCCTAGCTAGCCCTAGCCCTAAAACTTGGCATTTATGAATAATCTTTATTTTATTCTACTATAGAGAATCGAGCCCGAAACGTTTGTTTAGAGAGGCCGATGTCCTAACTGACTGGTCTAAGCTGTTTTTGTGAGCTTGCGAGCCAGAATAGCGGCTACTTATTGAGCAAAATATTTGCATAAAAGTCCTTGTTGAGTGGACCCTTCGGCATCGAACCCGGGTCTTGTACAACGGTTTACCTCTACACTTACCTGATAGCCATCATCTCGGCAACCGGGTTCCCGTAATAAAAAAATCATACCATGTACTTGAACCATGTGTCTTTGCGAAATCCATTTAGATCGCCCATTATCCCGCGCATTCGTCCTGCTGGGCGTTTCGTCCCCGTCTGGTTTTAGTAGGACAGGATTTAGATGAATCGATCATCGTGGCAGCGCTCTATCGCCTCGCCGCCCACCCTCTCCCATCGCGGTTCTAAATGCTTCTCGCGAAGGAAGGAAAATTTCACAGGAGTGATTCAAACTAAAATCGAGCAGACCCTCTTGGCTCACTGAGAGTAAAACAATGCTCTCCTCGGCTGCGCCTTACCGTGTATCAGGCTTCCTCCAGGAGTTTCACAGAGTCAGCGGGAAAAGGCAGCACTGGCAGAGAGTGGCACAAGCAACAAAAGGTTTGAATAAGCTCTACATTTTTCCTCCCATTTCATTGCCACCATGGCCGCTGACTGCTGTAAAACTTCTAATGCTAGCTTTAGTATTGAACACAAGAAAGTGTAACATTAGCTTGCCATCCAGCAACTTTGCGCTGCTTCGTTTTCACCAAGATTGATAAAAGATAAAAACAACCAGTTCCAAGCCTGAAGCCTCATGATAAATCCAGCTCAAGAAGAAAGTTTTTAACTTCCCAGGCTGTACATATTGAAAACTCTCCTCCATGGATCTAGCAAAGCGCAGCTAGATCGATTTTTAACAGCCGGAAGCTATAAGAGAAGCTCTCCCAAAGCTCCTGGGTTACCTTGTTGGCTCGCGTTTCTCTTTGTGTGGTGGATGGGAAACGCAAGCGTCTACATTGTTCTCTCGAAATACCTCTGGAGTAGTCTGGACAGAATGATTTCTCCGAGAGCCCATTTACAGCCACACCAATTATCACCACCAGTATCATCACTTCGTTTCTCAGCCACTTGATGAGCTTTTGGCGCTTCTGCTTCCCAAGAGCGTATGGACAGATGAAATCCACGGTTTTGCATCCGGAGGATGCTCGTCGATGTGAAGAAATCCCTGCATGAATGGAACAGCAACATCAAGATCTCTTCCAAAACAATCAGCAATATCACAAACCTTGTCATACTGGATCGTCAATGTTGCAATAGAAACTCGCAGAGCAATCTCCACGGCAGCAGGAGCTTTGCGATCTTCCGCTGGTGTGACTCTCATCAGTCTGAACTCCACGTTTCGGGCATCCTGTAGGTGTGGCCATACAAACAAACATACCACGGAACCATCTGGAGGATCATAATGTCATACCTGGAAACAGTCCCGGGAGCATCTTTTGCCCGAAACGAAATGACGATGGATCCCCTTGCATTCTCGCTGTCAGCCAAGGGCGAGCCCAAGACCAATCCACCGGAGCTCTCCAAGTTCAAACTCGCTGTGTGTGCCATAAAAGAGAGCCTGAAGACGACGCGAGCACCCGACTTGGAGCAGAACTGAGGCTAAAAACACGATTATCCACGAAGTTGGTGCCTGTTTCGACCAAATGCTTCGCCAAGCTCTCCTCCAGCTCCAAATGGACACTACTTGTAGTTGCAAGCGGGCACTTGCCTTCCAGCTTTGTTTGAGACAAACATCCGGCTTGCCCTCGGCAGCAATCTGCACGAGGTTGAGGTGAATCCTTCAGCGCGACAACGTAGCTCGGCTTGTGCACCTCGGTCAAATATTTATAATATCGAGAAAAGAATCGAACCAGAAACATATGGTTTGGGAGACTGAGGTCCTAACTGACTGGTCTAAGCTCTTTTAGTGAGCTGGCGAACCAGAATAATGGCTCCTTATTTAGTAAATTTTTTGCATAAAAGTCCTTGTTGAGTGGACCCTTCGGCATCGAACCCGGGTCTCGTACAACGGTTTACCTCTACACTTACCTGGTAGCCATCATCTCAGCAACCGGGTTCCAATAAAAAATATCATACCATGTAGTTAAACGGGTACCCGAGGAGATTATTCCCCGTCCCTGAGAGGCGCGAATCGGTGGTGATTCCATCCGAGCTGGCAGCGAGCGCCTCGAATGCGCCTCTTTTCTCCTGGTTCCAGTAATAAAATATCGTACCATCTACTTGAACCAATATGACAATATGGGTGCATTCGAGGCTGGCGTTTCGTCTTTGGGAGAATCCCTTCCAGATTTTGGAGCTAGGAGGACAGGATCTACCGAGGGAACGATCTCGTGCTTGATTGCCATGGCCACGCTCAATCACCTTGCCTCTTCCAGGATGCTTGATGCCAGGAACAAGAAGCGAGCGGCCGGATGAAAACTCTCGTGGAAGCCTGCCAAGGAGCTCCATCGCGATTCTAAATGAAGCGCGCGATGGCACTCGCGGGCTCCCAACAGGCTTGTGCCTACGGTCCTGTGGCTATACGTTTTCAGCGCTAATTCTCGACAGGGAGCTCCACGAGCTTGACTACTCACATTTTAGGGCTCTTGAGATTGAGATTATTCCAGTAATATTCTTACTGTACGGTAGAACTTGGAAGAACCCTAAAGTATGGATCTTCCTTTTGCCCTTGCTTTTGTTCTTCTTCTGACCTCTTGCTATGCGATCGATGAGGACTTTTCCGAGGAGCTGTTGCTGCGTCCGCTCCCCGACGGCAATGTGCTCGCTCATTTCCACTTCGCCAGCACATTGCCGCCCGTCGATCACTACGGCGTGCATCACCGGCTCTTCCCCAAGGCCATCTTCCAGCTCGTAAGTCCTCAAATCCCTTCTCCAGGAAACGATGATAAGAGAATCGCTTGGAACAGGTCCGGAAGTTTCGAATCAAGGAAATGGAGCTCTCCTTCACGCAAGGGCGATGGAACTACCAGCGCTGGGGCGTGGGCGATCCGATCGCACAGCTCGCCGCCAAGCCAGTGGGAGTGGAGCTTACGGCATCTCTCGACGTTCCAGAGGCAGAGGTGGATTCGACGTGGGGAAACCTCACGCACGCTCTCTCGGGCCTCTTTTGCGCCTCGATCAACTTCCTCGAGTCGCCAACTACGTTCTTGGAGCCGTGGTTCTCGTGGAGGCCCGAGGCAAACTGGACAGGAGGAGGAGGAGCTTTCGACGCTCCCGGCGTGAAGAGGGTGGTGAAAGGAAAGAAATGGAGCAAGAGCTCGAGAACCAGGTATGGAGCACTCCCGAGAGAAGCAGTCTGTACGGAGAACCTCACGCCATGGCTCAAGCTTCTCCCGTGTAGAGACAAGGCTGGGCTCACGACGCTCCTGGACAGGCCGACGATTTACAGTGGTATGTACCATTCCCAGAGGCTGATTATCACTTCCGGTGACTTCGATCGAGACGAAGAAGGCACGACGTTGGAGCAAACCTTGACGGTTGTTTTGCGAAAGCCAGCAGTTTCAGAAGGTCTGTCTTCCAAGCTGCAAGACTGGACACTCTCCGGGTTGTTTGGCTCAAAGCTGGAAGGCAAGTGCCCGCTTGCAACTACAAGTAGTGTCTATCTGGAGCTGGAGGAGAGCTTGGCGAAGCACTTGGCTGGAGATCTCAGCAAAGAAACACGCATCAACTTCGTGGACAATCGTGTTTTCAGCCTCAGCTCTGCTCCAAGTCGGGTGCTCGCCTCCCTTTCAGGCTCTCTTTTACTCGAGTATGAAGCTGGCACGCACAGCGAGCTTGATCTTGGAGTCACTTGGAGAGCCCCGGTGGATTGGTCTCCTGCTCGGGGTCGGTTCTACACAAGCCGGTACTTGGCTGGCAGCGGGAATGCAAGGGGATCCATCGTCATTTCTTTTCGGGCAAATGATGGTCCTTCTGGGGACTGTTACTCTCCAGGTATCGAGGCAGTCGAGTACGTCGACATTATGATCCTCCAGATGATACCGTGGTATGTTCGTTTGTATGGCCACACGCTACAGGTTTCGTTGGATGGCCGAAACGTGGAGTTTTGGTCCGTGGTTAGACTGATGAGATTCACACCAGCAGAAGATCGCAAAGCTCCTGCTGCTGTGGAGATTGCTCTGCGAGTTTCTATTGCAACCCAGGCCGTAACTCTGACGATCCAATATGACAAGGTTTGTGATATTGCTGGTTGTTTTGGAAGAGATCTTGATGTTTGCTGTTTCATTCATGCAGGGATTTCTTCACATCGACGAGCATCCTCCAGATGCAAACCGTGGATTTGATCTGCCTTCCGCAGTTATCACTTTCCCAAGGTGCCGTGTGTTCAAACAATTCCAAAGTGATGATGTCGGTCACTCGCACATTTTGGCTGTTGTTCAGGTAGTCGATTGTTTTGTTTTTCCAAGTCCGAGTTTTGTCTTTGCTCTCCTCTTACAGAGCCAGCGTCCAATGCAAATATATAGCGAAGTTTCATTGATGCAACTGGCCACACCGGATTTCAGCATGCCGTACAACGTGATCACCCTGACGTGCACAGTTCTTGCGCTGTACTTTGGCTCGCTGTTAAACGCTCTGAGGCGAAGGATAGGCGAGGAAGAACGAGAAAGCAAAGGTACCTAGAGTTATCTCCCCATCCATTCCAAGCTCTCGTTCTTATGCCATTTGTTCTTGACAAGCAGAAGGGAAGAAGGCGGGGCTTCTGAGCCAAAAGCTCAAGTGGCTGAGAAACGAGAAGCACATGAGAGTGATCAAGGTGATACTGGTGGTGATAATTGGTGTGGCTGTAAATCACTACTTGAGCTCGTCATGATGGCACTCTGGGCTCTCGGAGAAATCATTCTGTCCAGACTCCTCTGGAGGTATTTCGAGAGAACAAAAAAATGTGAAAACTGGCGCTTGCATTTTCCATACACCTGACAGAAAGAGAAAAGCGAGGAGCTTTGGGACAGCTTCTCTTGTAGCTTCCGGGCGATAAAAACTGCTCTTTGCTAGATCCATGGAGGAAGATGTACAAGTTAAAAACTCTTTTCTTGGGTTGGATACTTATATCTGTATAGGGGTTTTCCTTAAGGAGTTTAGGATCAGGTGTCCGTTCTTGCCTTTGAAGGATCTGTGCTTGGCTGGTTTTATATCTTTTATGCATCTTGGCGAAAACGAAGCAGCAAAGTTGCTGGATTGCAAGCTAATGTTACACTTTCTTGTGTTTGATACTAAAGCTAACAATAAGGAGAAACTTTAAGCAAAAGAAGTATAAGTGGAGAACTTTTGTTCCACAGTAGTAGGGGCAACCATGGTGCTAATGAAAATCTTATGTTGCTCTTTTGCCTCTTGCAAGTGCTGAGAGGTGAGTATTGTTTTATTCTTAGTAGCTTCTGTTGTTCAAGTGCTGGTGTTTAAAGACTTATTAGAGTTCACTTTAGTTGTTTTAGTTCCTTCCATCTCTATACCACTTTAAAGTATTAAAATACAGTTTTTATTATTTGTTAGAAAAATGTTGTATTTTTTGTTCGTCTAAAAACCTTTTCAAAATTAACGAATATTCACTTACAATTCTGCTTTGCCGCTCCATATGTAATATTAATCAATAGCGTTTTGAGGGTCTTGAAGCACCTTAATGAAAGCATGAGACAACAATGCAATGGATGCAAATTAAAAAGGTTACCACTCAATGGAGGAACTCAACGAAATTCGATTTGGAACATTACAGGCGGGCTAGGACGTGAACACACTGTAATCCTGCAGCGGAGGTGCAGCGGCCACCAAATTCTTTTCAGTAGTCATATGATTTGTCCAAAACATTCTTGCAGTACCATTAGAAAGACACTCATACAGCCAGCTTTGAAATCTTGAGAGCTGCAACAAGCATCAAAATCCACGCACAACCAAGCGTGCCATTCGCTTCCCTCCCAGCAATCAAGCACTTTTTAACTCGAAAGAAGGGAGCACACGGCTGAGACTCACTGCTGAAGGAGACAACGCGCCACTATACAATGAGGGCAGTTTTGGTGGTCGCTTTAATTTGGAGTCAAAGAGCTAGCAAAGATGGTGTAAACAGAAAGATAGACTTTAAGAACAAGGCCTTCTGGTTTTGATGACGAGGTTTCCGTCCTGTAATCCAAGAATGCCTTCTGCTTCGCAGCCGAAACCAACAAGTTCATTCAAACCAAGTTCATTCAAAGTTCAAGTTCAGCGTTTACATGTAAACCTAGCTATGTTAACAAAGTCATTCTTGCGCATTATATGTGTAGCTTTTTATTTGTTATCTAATTATTAATTATTTTCTCAAAATTGTATAAAAAGACCTCATAATTCGTGGGAAAATAATAACCTAAATATTTTAATAATAATAGAGTTTCTAAATAATATTTTATATTTAATTTTAATTTGATAAAAAATATAATACAAGGATGACATGTATAAGTCCAGTATCTAATGTTTATCTATACATTTCTTCAATAAACTCTTTTTCAATTAGAGTTATGCATAAAACATAAAAATAAAAAAAATCATAACCCATATTATGAAACATTTGTATTTCCCATGATAACATTTATGATATTTTTAGCATGTCTAGGTGGTTTTTCAACAGCATAGTGAAGAGTTACTATTAATCTTGATAATAGTATAGCATAATATAAGTTTCCAAAGTTTAGTGAAATACAAATTCATAAAGTTTCACCAAAGAGTAAATTGTACAAACATCATTTTAATATTGATGTTTCTACTTTTTTTCCAAATGTCATGCCATTGGAATATCATTGGAGCACCAAAATAAACTTTTATAAACTTTGAATTCAATATATTAAACTAATCAATTTAGGATATAATTATTATACTTACAATTATCTAAAGAAAAAAGAAACTATACCTTTTATTTATTCTATAGTATACACAATAGAAAAAAATATTTTAACTTTTAATTTTTGAAATTCAAAATATATATAAATTTCTCTTTTAAAGTGAATATGGTAGCTACTCCTTGTTCTAAAATTTTAATTTCATTATAATCTATAATAAAATATTTTAAGTTTTAGTAAATATAAAAACTCTAGTTTAACAAATAAAAATTATATTTTTTATATAAAACATTAATCTCTTTGTAAAAAGGACATTTGTCAATTAAGCTACCCTTCTCAATATCATTTTTGTATAAGACAATTGCAATAACATCATTACAAGCAAGTAAATCAAACTAACTACCAAATTTCTAAATTGAAAAATATACAATAAACATGCCTTATTCATAATAGGTATTGATTTAGGCAAGTAGTAGATGCAACTTCTTGATTTAAATGAAAGTGCTTCCTCTAATTAAATTAAGTTTACTCAATTTCTTAGTGCTTAAATTGTTATGTCACATTGAATGGTGAGCCATTAAATATATACTTACAAATTCCTAATTAAGTATATATATATATTGAGTTCTAGTATTCGTGAATTTGAAATTTTATGATGCTGATTTCTACATTGTACCATCAAAAGGTTTATTTATCCTATTTATATATCTAATATTTAAGGTATATATAAAAAAAATTTAATAAACTATTTCTTAATAGGAGATATGCATAATATAAAAATTAAAAACTAATTTTGAATGCTCATATTAATAAATGTTTGTATTGTTGTGATAACATTTATGACATTGTTAGTATATTTGAGTGGTTTTTCAACAGTAGAATGAAAAGTTATTACCAATATTTCTAATGTTATGACACATTATATGTTTTCAGTGTTTTGCAAAACAAAATTTTATGGAATTTCACTAAAGAGTAAAGATTGATATTTTTACTGCTTTTTCTAAATGCCACACCATTGAAACTTCATTAGAGCACATAAATAAAATTTATAAACTCTAAATTTATTATATAAAACAAATAAATTTATGATATAATTGTTATGTTTACAATTTTCTAAAGCAAAAATAATTTATAAAATTTTAAAAAGATATATAAGTTTCTTTTGAAGTGAATATAATATTTAATCCTTGTTCTAACTTTTTAAATTAATTGTAATCTAACATAAAAAATGAGTAAATATATAGAGTTTCTAGTTTAACAACTACAGCAAAGTCATTTGTCTTAGAAGATAATTGCAATAACATTGTTGTAGGCAACAAAGTCAAACTACTTGCCAAATAGAAGAAATTTTTGCATAGGATAAATAAACCTCCTTAAATGGAATGATCTAAAAAGCAACAATTGAATTAAGCTATAAAATCTCAAATTCACAAATACTAGGACTAACAACATATACTTGACTAAGACGTACACCATCTATAAGTATATATTTATTGACTCACCCTTCAATAGGACAATGTATTCAATAATTTTGAATGTCAAGAAATTGAGTAAATTTTGTTCAATTGGTAGACTTGCCTACACCAGTACCCATTGTGGAGTCACCAATGCAAAATTCTATGAGGCTAAAGGTGTTGGTTCTATTCTCATTGAGCTTAACAAATGGCACTATACACATGTCCCAGAAATGCAAGAAAATTTGTTATCTATGAAAAGCCTTTTTTATACTACTCTTCAATTTCTGGAGATCAACACAGTATTACTTTTTATTTTGATGTGGTCAAGGTGATGCACAGTACCTATTTACAAGTTTGATGCTAGTTTAGTGCCTCTCCTTGTCAAAGAATCTAAGATGGCACTGGTTCTAGCATAAAAAATATGGAAGTAGAAATGTCGCATACACTTTGGGATTGCTTGCTGATCCTCTATCCCACCTCTTATTGGTTATGGACAAGATCAGGCTTTTTTCACATTAAAGCCTTCCTTTCTTAATAATGTTATGAAAGATCAGTAGTCCAGTGGTGCCATGCAAAAGAATATTTGTGATAGTTACTCATTTTATGCCCTAGATAACAATTGAAAGTTCGTGGCATTTGGTGCGGTGACAACTGGGACGCTTCCAGATAGAACAGAAAGTGGTAGTTCTGCACCATCAAGCTCCTGCTGCTCTCACTAGCAATAATCAAGAGGTACGAGAGATTTAGTTCTCCTGTGGCAGATCAATGCACCATGGAAGTCTGGCTAGTAAATATCCTTGATGCGTCTCAAGAATCGGGGTGATTTTTGGGTGCTAAAATCGGGAGGAGTATCAAGCTCGGGCAGGACGGCAGTCTCTCCGAGAAAAAGCGGGCTTGTTTGATTCCCCCAAACCCACCAGGCACATGGAGAACTTCGTCCACTTGAGCTGCCTGAGGATGGAATTGCCTGTTCGTGACAGGAATGGATGGTGAATGTGTGGCGTCGATGCTCCAAGCACAGCCCTGAACCTGGAAAGATCACACCGAAAGCTTACAAAGTCTACTTCTCTGGAAGTTCATACCTCTCAACCTTGGTCCCTGAAAACGTATCCCGCCGCCAGGGCGCCAAACACAAGGTCAGCGTCGAGAAAGCTACACTGCGAGGAGGAGGAGGAGCGACAGGAGGAGCGCCTGCGATCGATCATGTCTTGTCAATGGAATCAGACGAGACAAGAGAATCAGCTGCCAGGGCTGGAGCCGCCGCTGCGCCGATAGGCCAGGAAATGGATTATCACAGCCGCCGCAGTCTCCAGCTTGCCCACGTCAATCTGCGCAACTCCAGCGTCGCGATGCCAGAGCATCCGCATTGATGATCGACGATGATTCAGTATTTGGTATTTACAAATATCGGGAAGAGAATCGAACCCGAAACGTTTGTTTTGGGAGACCGATGTCCTAAATGACTGGTCTAAGCTGTTTTTGTGAGCCGGCGAACCAGAATAATGGCTCCTTATTTAGCAAAATTTTTGCATAAAAGTCCTTGTTGAGTGGACCCTTCGGCATCGAACCCGGGTCTTCTACAACGGTTTACCTCTACACTTACCTGATAGCCATCATCTCGGCAACCGGGTTCCCGTAATAAAAAAATCATACCATGTACTTGAACCATATGACAGGGGTCTTTGCGAAATCCATGGCGTTTTTGTTAGATCGCCCACCAGACGAGATTATCCCCCGCATTCGTGCTGCTCGGCGTTTCGTCCTTGGCAAAGCCCCCTCTTGGGTTGTGAAT